AGGGGACGAAGGGTGCTAGACGGGATCTTCCAATTTTGGGGCAGTTCGTTTCAGTCAAGCCGAATCGAATGCTGAATAGACGGGTTTCAGTTTTAATCAAGATTTCTATTCTGCAAATCAAGATTTTGTTTCTTTGCTTGTGATAATCTTTAGTTATTTGTTGTTATTCAATTTTTGAGTTGTTGGGTCCGATTTGCGATCTTTTTTTTATTTGATTGGTTCGAAAATTGAGGTTGGTTGGACAATAGTTAGGGCAGTCGCTGGTGTTGGAGGTGGAGATGGAGCTGGAAGTGGAGGTCGAATTGTATGAACGGTTTCTGGAATTGGAGGTGGTGCTGGAGGTGGAGGTGGAGGTGAAGGTGGTGATGGAGCTGGAGATGGAGCTGGATGTCGAGGTCGAATTGTATGAACGGTTTCTGGAATTGGAGGTGGTGCCGGAGGTGGAAGTGGAGGTGGAGGTGGTGCTGGAGGTGGATTTGCACTGAACACCCAACAAAATAAACGATCTTACCCTGTTTTCTAAACACCTTGGAGGTGGAGGTGGAGGTAGAGGTGGAGGTGTTAGTACATCATCACACCCTGTTTTCCAAACACCCAACAAAATAAACAATTCTAAACATTGTAGAAGTTTAGGATATCCAACTTTCCTGCTAAAGCTGTAATCCTTCCAACATAGAAAACCAACCAATTGCTACACATTAGATTTGGAAACTATTTGAATTTCCATGGACATGCATGTTTTTTAGATGAAACTCAAATATTTGAATATGTTGAATAACTTTACCCAGACGGTATTCAAAAGTCAGCACTTTTCACCCTGCTTGTGAGAATTCAGATACGAACCCAAAAGTAAAGAACAAGGAAAAGCAAGATCAGATAATCATGTAAGAAGCAGGGTGTGAACCATTTTCTATTAGAAGATCTACCTCTATAATTATTGCTTTTATAACTTAATGCCTGGTAAACACAACATTATACATATTGTTCTCTTTCTCTTTAACAGAACTTTTGCTTTATATATTGTTTTGTTTCTGTTTGACAAAAAATTTTCTTCATATATTGTTTTGTTTCTCTTCAACAAACATTATATTTTCAGTTGTTTATAAGACGAGTTTCATCATTTTTACAAACAGAAATGTTATGGTTGAAGCTTAACTTCAACTCAAACAACATATTCTACTCGAATTAACAAAGAACAACTGAGGAAAATCAGCTGG